GGGCCACATTCCATCCGTAGGGTTATGGGACCTTCATGGAGGATACCTCGGCTTTGACCACAAACACGGCCACCACATCGATCAGGGTGGCTTTCGCACGGAACACATAAACACCCTCCACTCGAGCGGAAGGCCGCGGTACATAGCCGTGGCTGCACAAAAGAAGGACGCAATCTGTGTATCTTCTATGGCTGTCGCTTACCCAGATGGCGAGCCAGTCATGATGGTTATGGACCCGCTCACCGTCGATCAATGCGGCATGCCATGGTATCAGTCTCTCGAGACCATTGGCCACCTCGACCTGCGACCACGATGTGTCTGGATAGACGGATCTGGCAAGTCTAAGAACCGAGCAGCTGCGGGTTCGCATGGAAACTACCAAGATCCACCTGCAGGCTTCTCCCTGGACATCGAGGCTTTCATGCGGTATAACTTCAGCGAACACAACGCGAAGCAATGGAGTGATCAGCCCGAGCTCATATGCGGGCACCAGGCTCGCTTCAAGAAGTGGGACGACATGAAGGGCCGGATTACTGTCCCCGTCTTCGCAGAGAAGCCACTCAAGTATGGTCCTGATGGCTGCGATACCAAGGATTTCCTGGCGAAGGACTGGTACGAATCGGAACGTCTCCATAATGACATAAGGCGACGAAGCGCCGATGACGCAGGTAAGAGACTGGACTGATTGTCAAGTAAAGTTCTGGCTAACAAGATCTGCACAGACGACAATGACCAGGACGAGGAGGAGAGCGACGAGACAATAGCGGCCAGAAAAGAGCTGTTGCTTCACGGCACTCTCGTCAAGGGTGAACAGTCTGCCGAGGCCCTGTGTAGCTCTGCTAGCTCATACGGGCCGGACTGGTACTCCTACGAGGAGCACCACTACTGCCATATGGAGACCAAAACCTTGTTGCCCGGTTGCTCTGCTGAAGTGACCGAGGAATGTTTTGACGCGGACAAGCACGAGGTCCGACACAGGTTCTGCGGTTTTGGCAGAAAGTGCAGGCGAGGGCTTGCCGGCGCCATTCCAGTCAAGACGTTTCAGCGCATTGGGATGCTCGAGACCCAAACAGAATGGGCATTGTTCCCTAAAGGCTGAGTTAACCGTTGTGGCCGATAGTTCTATTCGTTCATGTATTCAACGTTCGATGGAAGACGAATAATGTGAGGTCCAGAATAAGTCGTGGCAGCTCCCAGACATAGATAATCAACAAGAGACATTTCATACGCTCAAATTCTTCTTGAGATCTTGGCTAATGCAGCGTATGGCGGCGGCGGCGGCTCCAGTATGCTAATACAAATGATTCGTTGAGCCAGCGTCGACGGTGCCCACCATTGCCGACGGCAAGTCTCCCAGTGGCTGACATTTACTGGCTCAGGTGTATCTGCCGTTTAGGACATATTAGATTTAGAAGAACAGGAACATGAATTCATCGGATGCAATCTGCCACAGCTGATCTTGTTGAAAGGGCAACTCTGCCGAGATCACTCTTTAGGCAGTCGTCATCCTTAGAAGGACTTGTGAATCTCTTTCTTGCTTGACCTTGCATACGGTAACCTATGAACTATTCCTAGGTTGCTCGAATATCACGGGCAGGTACGACTCACCGGGTAGACACACGACCGATCATCTGACATCTTCTTCCTGGCACGTCAGGTTGTAGGATATCATGGTCCGGGAAGGCTCACCGGACACAACGGCAGTCGTGCGTGTGGCTGGCTAGTCTGAGATGCACAAACGCTATCATGAATATCGCCGTCGCGTCCCGTAGCGATAGTCTGCAACTGACCCCAAGTCCTTCATATTGCTAGATGTTGGCCGTGCGGGTGCAGAATGACCCAAGGCAAGCCTACAGCCGTGCTTTCCGGAGGAGCACTGGCTGTTCCCTTACGCTACAGCTCTACTGAACAAATTGAGAGCTTCGGGAAGGCAATATCGAACACCATGAAGCCAGCAAAGGTAGGCACGAGTGACTCGCTGACTTCCGTCTCGGGTCTTTCGCACCTGCTCCGCTCAGGACTTAGGTTATGCCCTTTCGAGCAAAAAGGATGCAATTCTGCCCTCATATGAGTGTCACGACCTTGGTCCGGAGATACTAGCTTTTCTCGCTCGTCAACAGCGGTGATGTCTTGAACTTCTACAGACCAGTCGGACAGGACTACGAAGTTCAGCATGACGGAATCACCTGCAGCCGGATCCTCGAGTTCGACAGCATCTACCTTGCCTCGAACACCACAGCGTAAGTCTGGTCTCATTCGATAAGAAGAAAGCAAGTCAGACTAATAGTAAACCCAGCACCCTTCAGTCCGCCCAGAAGAAGCTCATCCCTTGCCTTCAGTGCAAATCGTTCGACGAAAGGTCCCCCAGCTCAATCAAGCGCTCCGTCGGCGCAGACTATAGTATCTCCCAATCAACCGCAACCAAATATTGGGAGGAAACGGCTTGTGGCACCGCCTCCACCTCACGATGCTCCTTCACCTGTCCATGTTGCTCAAATGCAAAGAATATTCCAGAATGCAAAAGCAACTCTGCACCGAGATATGGCAGCAGCATCTTCTCCAGCGAGCTCTATCGAGTCCCGCATGAACCTTGACCCAGGTAGTCCGGCAAAAAGCTTGAGCATCGGAGAGTCAACCGGGCAAGAGCAGGATGCAGATGCAGATCGGAAGACATGGAGATACTCTACAGCACCTCAGAACCTTGCTGCTGTCTCTGTAGATGTACGAGAGCCTCTCCCATCGCCGACTCTTCCGGATTTGCTCCTACACCACATAAGCCATGGAACTGAAGGCATCGAAGCAGTCAGTAGTGGCTTTACCTCGCCCAATATGCGCGAGTCATTTTATGGCATCCACGAAGCTATCGCTACGGCACTTCCATCGTCTGGAGACGAATCTGAAGACGACGGGAATGATTCCAAACCGTCAATAGATGCTGTCTTGGCCAGCAGTATCGAAGAGACTGAGCTCGAGAAGCCGCTAACACAGCTGAAGTTGACAACAGAGGACACAGATGATGAATCTAGCGAAGAATCACCTATTGTCAGGCACCTCAAGCGGCGATCCTGTGGCACGTCCATGGAGCTAGAGCTACCCAGTTCGCCAGAACGGAGCATCTTCCTATCAGAGACCGCAGAAGCCGCTGCAAACTCAGCTAAAGCTAAAAGAAAGCTATTGAAAGGCATACTGAACGATCAAGCAGACGACGGTCACGTCGGAGGAAGTACTGTCACTGGCCAAAGCCTCGATATGAGAGCCAGTATGCGATGTCCTGACCCTGCAGTACACCGCCTCAGTGCAGGAACGCCTTGTCCTGAGCCGTACATGCACAGTCAAAGCCCGTTGATGATGCAAAGGCCTGTCTCTGCGGCAGGCTCGGGCATGGCTGCGCTCGGTCAAGATGGAGGCCAGTTTATTCAGCACGTGCCAGTTCCTGGTGCCTCTCGAGCAACATCGACAGGAAGCCCAATGCCATTTGCACGTGGAAGAGCACGACCTGCAACAGCTGACGGGTATGCGCATCCTCAACATATCAGCCCATACATGCGGGAACAGCTGCAGATGAATACGCTTCACGAACATTTCAGCCCCGGATGGTATTATGTCCAGGAGCCAATGCGGCCGACCATCAGGCCAACACTACGTCCACAATATTCATTCTCAACGGCTGCTTCGAGGTCTGTCGGTGCTGACCAAGCTCCCGATTCACGTATACGTGATTCGTACAAGACAGACACCTTGACTGCATTGGCCAAGCCCCCTAGCAGATACCGGAAGAACGGTATTGGAGCAGAGGCAGCACCAAGAGGCGTCAGTAGGTACTACCAAAGACCGCCTTCTTCGATGCGACCACCCAGCGCTCAGAGTAGGCCAAGTAGCAGGCGCACGTACACCAGTGGAGAGGATGTCCGCTTCCGCAGTAGTCCACCTCGTGTACCTGGCCCGGAGCACTACATACCTGCTAGACGCAAGCGAGCCATGGACGATTCCTTTGTCATTGCTGAAGATGTCAGTGACCAGATTACCCGACCTACATTGAGACTGCAAGGCAGCGATGATATCATGGAGGTCGATGAGCAAACAAAAGCCGCTGTACGCATGAGCATATTTGGCACGAACCCACCCGAAGCATTGCATCAAGCTCGACGCGGACTCAAGGAGTTGAGTCCTAACGTACAAGTCTACAGGAAAGGGACACAAGAAAATGCCCATCTGCGCAAGAAAAGGAGACCCAGCTACTGGGACAACGATCTGAAGGAGGTTCGCGAGTCGCCTGCGGGTCGTGGTGGTGTCAATTCTCCTGTGTCGGCTCAAGAGAGCATGAGAGCTGAATTCGAAATTGCTTCTTTGAATAGGACCGAAATGGACCTGGACGAGGATGACCTTTCCGGTGAAGTTGCAAGAGCTGGGATGGACTTAGAAAAGAGGCTCAACGCTTTCAGGACGGAGAAAGCCAAAGAGCTTGCTGGTAGAGAAGTTGAAGCAGGTCTTGGGGCAGCCGGATGAGCAGATGCGTGCACTTGGAAGACAGAGATTTGCAGTACTTTGGGCTTATCTAGACTTACTTTGTGGTTGCTAGTACAGCATGGTCATGTTTTGGAGCTCAAACGGCTGTGTATAGGAAGCACACGGCAACAGCAGCAGCCGTAACTTAGGGCGGAATAGTGCTTCGAGCATGTATATGAAGAACGTATCTTGTGTAGCCGTAGCAACAAGAGAGCATAAGCCAGCCATATCCCGTTCATTGAAGTAATTTAAGTGTCCAACCTACGCCGCGGGCATCAAGAACAATGACTTAACGGCAGGATCCAGAAATGGGCAGTATGACGGTGCCATATCGCACTCGTTGGATGAAGCTGGTGTTAGCTTGGGGTGTGTCCCCCAGTGGTCAGATACTGTATCTGCGCAACTTGATCGAGACTGTCCGCATCATCGCTGCGAGATTGGAATTATTCATATATTCCAATATCAAATTTTGCTTCCACAATCGACACATAAACTCCCCGCTGGTGTAATGGTTAACATCGCCGGTTTTCATTCAGAAAACTATCTGTACATCTGTACCCGGCAGCTCGGGGTTCAATTCCCCGGCGAGGAAAAATTCATTTTTGCTCGTTTTCATGCTGTGGACTCATTTTTTGGTCGAGAACTTCAAAGAGAATCGACTGAAGACGAGAGGACAAGCAAGCTACGTCGTGTGTGACATATGTGCAGATCAGTGACGTTTTGTTGCCAGCAGATGATCGTGTCTCCTGGCGGAAAATCAACGTTGCCGGAGTATCCGACAACCTTAACTAGATACCTACGAGCACTGGCGTACTCCCGAGCGCTGACATGTATCGCAGGCAGCATTTAGTACGCTTCTCAGAACGGGCTTCGTCTTGGTAGTGGTGTGGCTTCAGGTGTGATGTTCAACAAGGTACTGGTGTGCTCCTGGGACGAATTTCCGAAGCTGATCTGGCCAGCTTGATTTTCTGGCCGGAGCGTGTCTCTGCTCGAATATGTACGACGGAGCGGGATTGATAGCTTTCTGCTATCCTCCTCAAGCTCAGAACGTAGCGAGGCATAAAAAAACACGAATCACAAAGACGTTTGGGTCTGCAGGAGCAGGAGAAGCTTGGCGACCAGGTTTGCTACATATCTACCTATCCTTCTCTGGAGCGGACTGCTTCTGATTCTTTACCTCCCTAAGCCTACTACCTCAGGTACTCTTAAATTAAGCGGAAGTCAGTTTCTCTGGATGGGATCGTGACGAATGGCACGCCCCTGGAATACCGAGAGAACCAGAGCAAACTGGGACCACCACTCGATAGCTACGACCACTGACACTGCTGGATATCATCGACCCAAGACCAGCTCCAGGACTGGTAAAGCAGCATTCAATGCCGGCGTTGCTTTAGATGTCTATCATCAAACCCTTCGTACGGGCACGCTCGTATGGCATAACGACTCGGGTTTCATGGCAACGATGACGTTGAGAAGCTTACTCGGAAGCATAATGGCCCTTTTGGTCACTGCTGCTAGGCTCGACTTCGATCGAGGCGATCATCATGGTGCCCTCCTTGGCGATGATTCGGTGCTCCCTTGCTCTTGAGAAGGTAGATTCTTGCCATGCGTAGGTCGTGCAGAACCACTACGCCGTCGGACATGGTTTACTCGATGTGGTTCTGAATTCATGGGATGGTCATCTTCTAATTTCGTGGTACAGGCCAAACTCATAAAGCCATACCAGATCCTAGCATGACAGAACATACAGTAACACTCATTCCACTTTTCTATCCTATTCGCAATGCAAATAACAGAGTCTATTTCGTGCTGACCATCTACGTCGACCCATTCTCAGTAGGCTTTGGCGCAGCCAATGTACCCCGAACACCGCCCCTCCCCTTCGCTTCTCTCGCCGTTATCTGCACACCGAGATCCGAATCGATATTGATCGTGACCTCCAGCTTCGTACCCTTCTTCAGACCAGTAAACTGGAATTCTGCCAGTGGTTTCGTGACCTTGTAGATCTTCTCTCTGAGCTCTTCTTCCTCGTCTTCATCTTCGTCACTGTCTTCGTCATCCTCATCGTCTTTTGTGCCGTTGGTTTTCGCCGTTGGCTCTGCTTTTGTGACCTTGATGTCTCGCTCGCCTTCTGAGATCTGGAGCAGGACGTCGCCCTCTGGTGCATCGATGATCTTGGTTTTGCGTGCTGGTACGGCTGTGTTGGCTGGCACAATGATGTTGACCGAGTCCTTTGGCTGGCCTGTAATCTGCACACCGATGATCTTTTGCGTGTGTGGTGTCACAGTGACCATCTCGTGTGTACTCTGCTCGATGTCCTCTTTGTCGAACTCTTGGATCATGGATGCTTGAATGGCTGCGCCTCGTGCGCTCAGCTCGGATGGGTTCAATGAGCCCGTGGTCGTCGCAGGCGCAAGGACCTTCGTGTTATCTGGGAATATACCCTGCACGTTCTCTGCAATTTTGGGCACATGCGATGTGCCACCGGATAGTACCACCTCATCAATGTCCAGAACGTCCAGGTCCGCCTTCTTGACTACCTCCTCGATCATCCTTGTAAACTTCTGGAAGACCTTCACGCTCAGGAGTTGGAATCTCGTCCTGTTGACAGCGGACCTGAAATCGACGCCATCTGCCAAGGACTCGACGGAGAAGGTAGCCTGCGCACTCTGACTGAGGGCCTTCTTGACGGCCTCGGACTCGAGTTTCAGCTTGGCTAGACTGCGGTCGTTCTTTCTCGGATCTGTTTTATGCTTCTTCTCAAACTCTTTCGCGAAGTGGTCTATTAGGACCTGGTCGAGGTCTTTTCCGCCGAGATCGTAGTCGTGGGTCGTGGCTAGGATACTGTAAAGTCCACCGCCTGTGCATGAGATGACGGCTGCGTCTGACCTTGTGCCTCCTAGATCTGCGACTACGATGACTCGATCTTGGACGGACTCGGGCGCTCTCGAGTCGTAGGCTAGAACCGCGGCGACGGGCTCGTTGATAAACTGGAGGACTTCGACGTCGGCAGCTTTGGCAGCTTCCGCGATGGCAGCTTTCTGTTCAGAGGTGGTATCGGTGGGGACTGTGACGACGGCTGAGGTGATCTTCTTGCCAGTGTAGTCTGCAGCCGAGTTTTTCAGCCTGCGGATGTGTCGAGTTGTGATTTCTGAAACAGAGACGTTACTGGGTTCATCCTCCTCCTTGTCTTGCACAGTGAACACGACCTGACCATCCTTTTCTACGGGATGTGCTGAGTTCTGGCATGGTGTAGGGTCGATCTTGTTGTAGGACTTGCCAACGTAGTCCTTGAAGAATGCGACTGTGTTCTTCGCATTTCTTACTAGCTGTGCCTTTGCTTGTGTGCCGTGGTATTCTTCTCCCTGAACATATGATAATATAGAGGGGATCTGGCGGTCTCCTTCTTCATTTGCAATCACTTCGACCTTTCCTTCTTGCGAGATATGCGCTATCGAACTGTATGAGTTGCCAAAGGATATGCCGATGGCATAGTTTTCTGGGGCTGTTGCCCCGTTGGTTTCATCGCTCATCTGGGATATCCTGGTGTTAAAATTATTGCCCAAAGACTGCAAACGTCGAAAGAGAGATTTGGTTCTGAAATTCGTGGTATTAGAGCAGAGTGATCTTCGATGCAAATTGTTCGAGAATTGTCCGCAAGTCCAACTTTTTTTCCAGCCCTCACATGTCAGAGTATCGGAAAGGGCAAGTAAAGCGAACCAGCTTCTTGATTGGCTCAGGTAGCATCCTACATATATTCTTTCAAGTTCCTCAAGCAGGTCTTGGGTTCCAAGTACCTCATTTGCTGACCCGTAGGAAGACTTTGGAATGGCAGAAGCCCTTGTTGTCCTTCCGGGCGATGCCATCGACGCATCTTACCTTCCTACTGCACAAAAGCGGAAAATTGGTCTGGGCATCAAGCAGGAGTTCAATTCTAACGACTTCACTAGCACAATAGCTGGCAGAGTCGAGGTTGACCACCGCAAGAAAGCAGCACAGATTTCGACACCTCATGGACGGTATGTAGGCAAAGCAGGCGACTCAGTCATATGCCAAGTCAGAGGAGCATCATTTGAGACATTTCATCTCTACATCAATGCTTACTCACCACAAGCAATCCTGTCACATTTCTCCTTTGAAGGTGCAAGCAAGAAAACTCGTCCACAGCTAAAGACCGGAGACGTAGTCTATGCTAAAATTGCATCGGCTCAGAAGAACACGGATATTGAGCTTACGTGCGTGAATCCGAGCACCGGCAAAGCCGATGGGCTGGGCCCGCTCAATGATGGTATGGTCTTCGACGTCAGTCTTGACCTTGCCAATAGACTGCTCAAGAAGCAGCTGGCTCCATTGATGGAAGAACTAGGCAACAAGATCCCGGGTGGCTTCGAGATTGTCACCGGAAAGAATGGCAAGGTTTGGGTTCATTGTGCTGACGCTGGCGCGAAGGGCATCATCGCTGTCGGTCGGATACTTCATAAGGTTGACGAAGGGGAAGTGCAAGAGAAGGAATCGAAGAAACTGGTCAATCGGACACTGAAAGAGACGGGCCTAGGCTGAGCTCTGCAATGAAGTCTTCAGTGACCTATTCACAGGAGATATGTGGCGGGGCTATCGTTGTCCTGCTGATCCGAAACTGCCACTGGTACTTGGAAGTCGACTGCAGAGACTGGGTCTTTATCTTGAAGAACTGAAATACCTTATGCCAACACTCGAGCTCTCGTCATTCGTCGCTGGAAGTCTCCCCAAGCTGCATCTAGCTTTAGTACCTAATCTTAAACATCACATCTTGAGGAACAGTGCGATAATGGATGCCAAGATGCAAGCCGAGACAAAGGAAGAAGGCACGCACTACGAGAGTGGTGAAGTGTCACTATTCCGTGGTCAAGAAGCAGAGCTCATTCCTCTTGTGCATACGACCAGGAGCTTTGATTTGACGTTCTACATACTTCTTCAGATGGTAGACCTGAAACAATGGCGCACTCCTAGGATCAAGATCAGATGGGCTCGCCTCAAAATCGCGACCCGGAGCAGACGTTTTCCCGGCCGAGCAGATTTACATGAATGTCGCAGTCCCGACATTTGTAGTCCTCTGGAGATTGGGACAGCGAAGGAAGGACTACCCAGCACATTGTGCTTTGGAGCCGATAGCAGGCGACAGAAACAGCGATCGAGTTACGTTCAAGCTGCGTTTCAGAAATTACAGGGCAAACTCGATGGAACCACATGGGCCCAGAACGAGGTTGACTAGCTGTCACTGACCCAAGGCATCAAGCATGGGGACAGAGTCCGACTCCGTTGCGGCTCGATGCTATCTCCCGCCGCAGCATGAAGAAATCTGATTACAATGATCCGGAACATGTTTCACTGCTCACTGGTGTCGCCAACGCCCCGATCGGAGTTCACAAGTGATATCGTGAGGTAGTGAAAGCTGACAAGCTGACACCAAGTGCAGATATACTGTTAGTACGGCACACCAACACTGCCTTGCAAACCAACGTCTATACCTTCTTCTTTCGGTCTTCTTCTAATGTACGCTTCGCCTTCTAGCCTCGCCATCTTCTCATGTTTCCGGACTATCGACGATTTCGG